AGTGAGAATAGGGCTATGTCTACACTGGCCCCTTTTCCGAAACGGGCATGCTAATTTTCCAGGTCGTGATAGGGAAATCCGCGGGGATTTAAATATCCCCCGCGGCATTTAAATAAAAATGTCCGCCGCTTTTTTCCGGCTTTTAGAAAAGCCGGAAAAGAGCGTCTACACTGGCCCCGATCCTCCGGAAAAAAGCCCTTTTCCGGAGGATCTCTTATTCCTACTTTTTTCCGGAGGATCGGGGCCAGTGTAGACGCTCTTTTCCGGCTTTTCTAAAAGCCGGAAAAAAGCGGCGGACATTTTTATTTAAATGCCGCGGGGGATATTTAAATCCCCGCAGATTTCCCTATTACGACCTGGAAAATTAGCATGCCCCTTTCGGAAAAGGGGCCAGTGTAGGCGAAGCCTTAGGTGTTTGCGTAAGACTTTTGTAGCCAATATTGCGAGGTGTTTACGTGCCAGGTACGCTAAATATTTGTATGCCCCTTTGTGCTTTGGCCACCATTCCAGAGGACATGGTTCATGCTGATAATGTCCGTTAAAAAAATAATCCATTAATTACAGTTGTGACTGGATTCCTTGGAAGATCTGACAAAATATAATGATACCTACAGCACGTGACCCAAGGGACAAGGTATGTGGAACATACTTTCTGAAAAAGCAATACTTGGATATGGGATCTATAGAATCTGAGCCATCAAAAAGGAAAATCAATCATCTGCTGGTGGCATCTGACTCAGATGATGAAAGTGAACACCGTTTTGGATTGTTATTTAGGAGAACCTGTCCTCCGCATGGATGCATGCTTTTTGGAATGGTGATTGAAGCATTAAGGGGCATATAAATATATAATGTAAATATCTTGCAACGCTAGCTACAACAGTACCAAGTGAACACCTGTTCTCACTTTTAGGTGACATTGTGAACAAGAAGTGGGCAGCACTATCCCCTGCAAAAGTAAACAAATGCGTTTGTCTAGGTGACTGGCTGTACAAAAAATAGGACTGAGTGGACTTGTAAATTCTAAAGTTTTAAGTTGTTTTATTTTCAAATGCAGGGTTTTTTATATCATTCTACATTCATAAGTTCAATTTTCATAACAAAAAGACTGAACCACTGTTCTTGCATTAGCTGAACTGAAAAATGCTATTTTGTTTACAATGCAAATATTTGTAATAAAAAATAAATACCAAGTGAGCACTGTACTTTTTGTATTCTGTGTTGTAATTGCAATCAGTATATTTGAAAATGTGAAAATCATCCAAAATATTTAAATAAATTGTATACTATTTTTAATGGTACTTTAATCATGATTATCTTTTAATCACTCGACAGTGCTAGTTTTCCTTTTTTCCTTTTTTTCTGGCCTCTTTTTTTCCTCATATTTCATTATTTTCCTCTTCCCATTCCCAATAGTTTTAAAAAATTAATTTTTATTTTCAAAATGTTTGGGAGAAGAGAAGGAAGAAGAAAATAAAAAACAAGAAATAAATGTATAATTTTTTAAAATAAAAAAACAAAACACTTAAAAGTTATTAAAATAGGTTCAAAATGAAAATAACTGTAGAGAATTGACATTTTTCATAAATTTGTAACCATCTCACAGAGAGAGCCTTCCAGGCCATAGACGGCCTACAGTATCATTCAATCTGTTTTCTGTGCTCACATGGCCACTAACCCTACAACACAGGCTATTTGCACAGACAAAATGACTTGTATGCCAAAAGAGTAAGAACACCTGCTTTCTGGAGTGAATTGATAAAGGATTTCTGCATCCATTGAATGATAATCTGCTACTACTTGCTTCTTACTCGCTTCTGCAGCTTTGTTTATCTCTTGGTTAGAATAATCTTGTTATTCTGAGAGGGTCTAATTGCTGAGATGACACATCTATGCATCTGATGAGTTGTAATGAAACGCCTCGTCTTAGGTGTGGAGCCATCACCAGGATCTCTTTTCTCGTCCGGTTATTTTAGGGTTTTTAAACATATATGGTGTCTAGTTAAATTCAAACATACACTATGAGCAAAATGATGCTCTGTTTGTTTTACGGGGATTTCTGGATTATTTTCAATGTCCAATGCCTGTTAAACATGCATGGAAAATGGCAGGGTACGGGAAATAATCATCATTTTTGCAGGGCTGAAAGGTTAGACTAGGTAGAGATACTACAGGTTATCTTCTGTTTCCTTAGTAAGATTCTGAAATGACCGGGTGCTCTCATTTCAGGGTAAACCTAAATCTGATGGACAAGAACCTCACAGTGAGTCATGTTTTACCTTGTTCAGTGTAACTACTTGTCTAGTGTTTTATTTCCCTTTTACAACTTAGTTACCCCCTAATGCTTAATTCTGTTCATACTGTGTTAGATGTAGATGCCCAACTTTTCAAAGTCAAGTATGGTCAACAGGTCACAGACATTACAAATGTTTAACTTCTTGCCTGCAATTTGTGTGCATGCTTAACTAGATACTTGAGTATGTGAATACAAGATTTCTATGTGCACTTTGGGTATCTGCATGTGTAAGGTACATGCATGTCCCTGTGATTCTTTAGTTTAATAATCTGGACCAGCATCTGCAACTTGGATTGTGAATTTCCTGTCTGGCTGATCAGTGTAAACAACTATGGTGTCCTTCCACCGAGTGATTTCTCCTGTCTGCTGCCAACTTTGGAAATGGTCTTTTCCAAGCAGAACATCTTTGCGTATATCTCAGATGTGTCTCCTTTCACTATGCCTGGTTCCCAAAATGAAGCTGGAAACGAGGAATGGATGGTGCTATAGAAGTGGTTACACAGGTGGAAAAGAAGAATCCTATTATTAGTAATTTTATAATGGCAGATCTTTCTAGCTGTAAAGCACTTGTTAACTGTCAGCGCTTATCAAGAAGACTGAAATATTTTGGAAATATCATGTTGCCACTGTTCAACCTTTACAGTCCAGTGGGTAGTGTCTTTCATTGCCTAATGGAAAAAAGGTGTACTTTTGGATTTGCTTCCCTATGTGAGAATGGCTCTGAGAGTGTTTTAAAGGCATTATGGAAAGGATTTTGGGTAGGGTGGGCCTATGGTGTTTCTTTATTCAAGAGTAGCTCTTCTGGACAATAAGGGTACGTCTACGCACCAGCGTTATTTCAGAATAGCATCAGTTATTCAAAAGTAACGTATTGCACATCCACACAGCAAGCCCATGATTTAAAAATTAATTCAAAATAACAGGCTCCTTATTCTGACTCCTGTAACACTCATTGTATGAGGAGTAAGGGAAGTCAGAGGAAGGATGCTCTGTTTCGAAATAAATGCTGTGTAGATGTGTCCAAATTTGAAATAAGCTATTTCGACTTATGCTATGCAGTTAGCGTAGCTCAAGTTGTGTAGCTTATTACTAGTTTAGCCCTGCTGTGTAGATGTGCCCTTGAGGACTCACACAAACAGACTCTAAAAAAAGATTGAAAAATAAGGGGTGTGATCAGTAGGGGAAAGGACGTAACTATACATCTAGGTAAGTAATACCTTTGCAATAAGTAATTTGACTGTTGTTTGCTTTGTGAGAGGGAAGCCTAGGATGGTATGTAGATTGCGTTTTGCGGTTTTTCTTGTCACAGGGGCATTCACAGAAATGTTTCAAAGAGCTTATGAGTGCACCCTAAAGCAAAGAGCTGCGATCAGCATCTACTGCGCTGCCGACCCAGACTGGGCTCTGCAGTATCAGTCAATGATTCCAAAACAGAAGTCTAGGTAGGACATAGAATGAATCTTTCATAGCAGAGTCCTACTTACAGCTCCTGGAAAACTCTGAGCCCTGTTCTGCCTGATCGCAGCTCTGCCGAAACACACATTTCTCAGCTCCAGATCAGTTTCCCTTCCCCTGTGCATTCTCACAAGCAACATTTACCTGTGGATCATTGGTGGCTTTGGGTCATCTCCCCCGGAAGCTTATTTATTGTCCAAATTCCAATTTGCTCCTTTTGGTGAGATCCCAATCAGTTTGCTCCCTGCCTCCATTTGCAAGGCCATCGGAGCCCCTATTTGGTAACTTGGGATGGGATCCCCTGAGCGCACCTGATCAAGCGCTGCAGAGCCATCCCTTTGGATGTCGGAACACGGCTTCGGGTCATCACAGCCTCACCCTTAGTATTCCCTGGGCCTGCTTCAGCAAGCTGCTTACAGAGTCTTAAAGTGGAGGCATGTGCTTAGGCCTCCTCTTGGTGAGGTGCATATCTACAAACAATTGCAAGGCCATAGTTTTGTTCCTGCCAATGCCGGGAGAATGGCTGTTCATACCAATAACTACATCCACATGTGAACAAGGACACTGTCGACGTGAAGAGAATTAGGCATTGCTCATTCTCTATTCCTTCCTCACACTTTCCTGTACTCTTGTAAAATGTATTAACCAATCAGGGAGCTGAAATGCCTTGTGAGGTAGGTGACCAATAACACACCACAAACAATGAACAGTGCATAATCAAACGGCTGAAATCTGCCTGTATGAACTATTCAGTCAATACCTGCCTGCAACAAATACAGTCACATGCATAAACCAGGCTTGGGTAGGGAAGACTAAAAAGGGCTACATTGTTGAATTCAAACACCTTTACTTCACTACTGTGACTTGTCTGTAGGACAGTAGCAGCTTGAGGCCTAGCCCAATATTGGGACATGATTATGCTAAGTGCTACACATGCGGTGACTTGTCTGTAGGACAGTAGCAGCTTGACGCCTAGCCCAATATTGGGACATAATTATGCTAAGTGCTACATATGCACATGGTAAGTCCACTCTGCCCTCCTATTTTGGGATGAGGAACGGAGCCTAGGTCATCTGTGCTTTCGTCCTCTACAGACTGTTTATTTTGCTTTTCATTTGGCAGCTGTAACATCTAAACCCCACTTGCTCAGACATGGCATAATCAGAATCTGAGCCTTTCTTTATGGGACCCTCTCTCTCCCAAGCAAGATCCCAGTACTGTTATGCACAGAAGTAAACTTCTTACTTACCCATTTCTAGACTGTGGTTTTCCTGCTTCTGAATCATCTGTCTCTCGTTGATGTGAAGTTACAGTGCTTGAAAGATGGTCTGGGGTTTCCTCCTGGAGTTTCTCTGTCTCCCAATCCTCCTGTGATACAGGAGACCACTCAGGGTATGTAGATATGCCAGAAATAGGCAGTTGTGAGGTGGGGAAAGAGCCATCTTCGTATTCATGATTTCTTGAATGTGTGACCAGCTCCACCAGTCCAAAAGAGAAACAGAAGAACACCCCCCCCCCCCTGCCTCTCACTCTCCTCCCTGAAGCTCGGACTGAGTTACTTCTGGAATGCCCCCGTCATATTTTTTATGTTAAAAGTTTGGAAGAGGGAAAACAAATCTTGTAACAAAGAGAGGAAACAGCTTTCAGCCCTCACAGCGACTGTGGAAATGTCAGAGGCCACCAAACAATGTGAGGCTGGGTTCCTGTGGGGAGCTCAAGAGACTAAGAGAGGGGAGAAAAGAAGTGGGGGAAGGGTCATCGTTTATTCAAGAAACGTCTGATTTTGGCTGCCTTCTAAACTTATCTGTGAACGGTCTTTATCAGCAGCCTTCTCCCTCGGGCACAGGAAAAGGATGTTGCTTTAAAGGAAAGGAAAAGAAAATATTGAGTGGTATAGCAGATTTCCAGTCTGGTGTTCCCAAACCCAAGAACATGTCACAAATCAACCTGCTGTAGACTCTGCTCACACATTACTGCTATGATCTAAAGGCAAGCAGGCACTAGTTATAATTTTTAGCATAGTTATGGTTCAAGTTATTTCGTCTCACCTCTGGGTGGGTAATACTCTGAACAGAGTGATGAGAGAGCCTGGGAAATAGATATTAATACATCGGCAGAGATTTCTTTTCATACATTGGATGGGATTTTCACAAATATTCACTGTTAGTCTAACTGTCCCCACTTTGAAGTCAAGCAGCATTTTACACTACAATGTAGTAAGCTGAGGGTCAGTAACATGGAGTCAGCAGGCCTAAATAGAGGCCTGTAACATGAAAACAGCAACAGGCCTGCAATGTAGTGAGCAAGACTTTGGTTCAGCAACACAGTAATCAAGCAAGGCCTGAGTGATAACTGTGTGAGCGGGTCAGTTAGGGTGTAAGGAGGCACCAGGTGGAGACTGTAAGCTAAATGGGAGTAGCGGAACATCTTAGTAAGGAATGTCTTGGTACAAGAAGCTATGCACATACCGATCTGAGTTCAGGACTATGTCGAAACTGACAGGATGATGAATAGAAGGTAAGCCCCCTTGCACAAGGTGAGGGTGGTAACTAGGCAACAGAGGGTAACAACCTGGTACATAAAGAAGTGATATCAGTTGTTTTTACCTGTCTACAAAAGGACACTGCAAAGGGTGCTCTCCAGCTGACCTTGGGGGGTGGTGCACTAGGTTCCTAAACAGCAGGTGTCATTGCCTGAGCCTTACAGAATGCACAGTGGCTTAACTCTGACTAACCGTTGTTAATATCTGTTATATGGCAATGGGCCTGCTCGGTGTTGGTACCATGTCAATGTGGGCCAATGGTGTAGTGATGTAATATTGTAGGATCTCTGTTGCCAACTGTTAGAGCTTCGCATTTGACAATAAACCTGCTCAACTGATTTCAAACCTTTCCTGCATCTGTTGTTTCCGGGGGCTCTCCGAGATCTTTTGTGTTGACCCAAGTGCACGATGTCTGACACTCTAGATAAAGGCAGCACTGATAGTTACACATGCAGCCGAAAGTTTATCATCACCGATGGAGTAGAGGTCCTGTCAGGAGCGCGCCAGGACAACCCCAAGAACCCTGACCAGACAAAGCTGAAACGCTGACAGCACAGACCACCAAAGTGCAACACACAGGTGCACCAATGCTGAGCACGTCTGAAAATCCCAGCCTGGAGATCCTCTCTTTGCACCTCTGTTGAGGATGGACCGTGTATGATGTGTTGCTGTGTGTTCAAGTAGCATGTTTGCTGACAGCTACCAGAAAGGAGCGACTGAGATCCTGGCACATGTCACCCTACTTAGAAATGGCAACATCTACGGTATCTTGATTATCGCTGCATCAGAAGTGTTGGCAAATGTTGACTTTAATCATAATCATTGAGTGGATTATGCTAGTACTTTAAGGGAAGTGGGGGGTTGCAGTACGAAACCCTCTTGTGTTTGAGGATAGAATTTGTCGGAAAGCCGCTACAGAAAACCGTCCAAGATTGGTGCGCTGGTGCATATTTGGATTCCGAATTGTTAGGTCATGCACTGAATTGACATACAAGAATTCTGCGTGTCCGTTGGTAGGTGATTTGTGAACCTGTTTGATCCATTCCAGAGCAGCTTACAGGTAGGGAGCATAGAGTCCTAACTCTACCCCCAGCCTTCCAGATGGTCTTGGAAGGGTCCACCATTGGAATTAATGGAATTGAACCCACTTTGGGCTGAGTTTGGCCATCTCTCTTTTTTGACTGCCTCCCTTTCTACTTGACAGTAGTAACCAGACTGAAGGGAGAAATATCATTTTCTGCCTGTCAGCCTTCTGAGTCCCCAGTAGATCTGAGCACTATGGCCAGCCAACAGCACCTGAGCACCCAGAAGGTACGTGGTGCAAAACAGACATGAGAAAATGCATGTCCAGAGACATGAAACCACAAGGTAAGATTCTAGATCTGCAGCTCTAAAAGTACCAAGCATCCGCCTTCCTGTCTTTTTGTTGGGCTTCATGTTTGAGGGCATCCCCTTATTGCCTACCTCACTGGCAATGTGCGACTATTTCATGAGCTACGGTCCAGATACAAATGTACTTGTATTATAAGTCACTGTCAATGTTCAAGGTACTTTGTACACCAGTGACATATGCATTATGTATATGTGTCAGCTGAATCCCTTTGTTGACAAAAAACAGAACCAAACATGAAGGCTCTTAAAGCAAAGTTGCTATATAATAACATGGGTTCTAAAGGAAGGATTTTGGGCTGCAGCTAATAATTATTGTTCCAGTTGGTACCTACTTCAAAACCCCATGAAGCTTATCTTGCATTACATTGACTCTTGTCTCATCGGTTCAATCCTTCTCCTCAGATTAGACATATCACACACCGAGTAAATGGAAGAATTTGTGTCCTATAACTGCTTTGGAGTCTCTAGTCCTCATCTCTTCTCTTTAGGGTATTAAAATTTATTCCATGCAGCTTTTAAGATATGCTGCTTAGAAATGAAGCAGCCAAAACATGGGGATTACACATCCATTTGCATATTAATAATGAAACACATTTGTTATGATACTTACAAAAGATGCTGAAACATTGACTGTCCCGGAGACTGCGATCTATTTATGGACCTGGCACAACAAGGACAGCCACCATGTATAAAGGATGTGTGTGAATTATTAAAACATGCACTCTTACTAACAAAACTTAATATTAATCCCATTTTAGTCTTGGCTGTCTTGATTCTGGGACTTGGAATAGGAAGCATAACTCACCTGCTGCTTCCTATTTCCAGCAGCCAGCTCTGGGCTTTCAGATTTATTCTCTCCCTGCTCTAGAGGAGCAGGTAAGAGCTCCCATTTTGGAACATGATACCTGCAAACTGCCTACACTGACTGGAGGCATCTGAAGCAGCCCAGTAGGACCATGCATAGTGATTGAAGCGTAGTTCAGTCTCCACATCTATTCATCCCTTGGGTTTGCCAACAAGGACAGCCATTGTGAAAGTAGGTTTTATGACGGACACCTGCCCACCAAGAACTGGACTGATGCCAACTATCCTCACAAAGGCCACCTCACAGCCATTGAATGGCTCTTGGTCATTGTCCAACTCAGCCAGACTGAACTGTCATCCTACCTGAAATTTGAACCATGTGGAGAAGGGTGTTACAAGGAAGATGGAGAAACATTGTTCTGCTTGGCCTCTGAGGATAGGGCAAGAAGCAATGGGATTAAACTGTAGCGGGGGGGTTTAGGTTGGACATTATGAAAAACTTCCTAACGGTCAGGGTGGTGAAACACTGGGATAAGTTGCATAGGGAGGTTGTGGAATCTCCATCTCTGGAGATATTTAAGAGCAGGTTGGATAGACATCTATCAGGGATGGACTAGATGGTGCTTGTTCCTACCGTGAGGGCAGGAGATTGGACTCAATGATCTCTCGAGGTCCCATCCGGTTCTAGGATTCTAGGTGATAAAAAGTATCAAAGGGGAAGCCATGTTAGTCTGAATCTGCAAAAGCGGTGAGGAGTCCTGTGGCACCTTATAGACAAACCGAAGTGTTGGAGCATAAGCTTTCGTGGGCAAAGACCTACTAGGTCAGATGCATGTAGTGGAAATTTCCAGAGGCAGGTGTAAATATGCAGGCCAGAATCAGGCTAGAGATAACGAGGAGGATCCAATCAGGGAGGATAAGGCCCACTTCTAGTATCTGATCTGGAGGTGTGAATACCAAGAGAGGAGAAGCTGCTTTTGTAGTTAGCTAGCTATTCACAGTCTTTGTTTAATCCTGAGTTGATTGTGTCAAACTTGAAGATGAACTGTAGCTCAGCAGTTTCTCTTTGAAGTCTGGTCCTGAAGTTTTTTTGTTGCAGGATGGCTACCTTTAGATCTGCAATTGTGTGTCCAGGGAGATTGAAGTGATCCCCTACAGGTTTTTGTATGTTGCCGTTCCTAATATCTGATTTGTATCCATTTATTCTTCTACGTAGGGATTGTCCAGTTTGGCTGATGTATATAGCAGAGGGGCATTGTTGGCACATGATGGTATATATTACATTAGTAGATGAGCAGAAGAATGAACCAGTGACAGTATGGCTGATCTGGTTAGGTCCTGTGATGGTGTTGCTGGTGTATATATGTGGGCAGAGTTGGTACCGAGGTTTGTTGCATGGATTGGTTCTACTGAGTCAGCAACCTCTGGTTGTGAGGCATTGATGCAGTTTCCTCATCTGACCTGGCAGTGTGGTAAGGCAGCAGGCAAGCGTCTGGCTTAGCAATCCTGCAGGTCTGGATTTGAGACCTGAGGCACCTGACATTGAAAGAAACAAGGTGTTGTATTGTACAGCAGTAGGGCATGACAACATTCAACGTGACACTAGAGTTCACTCCTTGCTCTGTTGGGTCCTCTCCTCAGATACTAAAATTTGCTGTTTTAGTACCACTGTTCCCTTTTGGAAGAGAACTATTTTTACACAATTCTGTCCTATGTTTTCCACCATATCTAGGAAATACAGAACTTCTTAATTGAAGCCTTTCCATATTATGGTAACCCAGCACAAAGCTGCTTTGCTGATATTTCAGCTCCTCTCTATTCTCCAGAGAGCACTGAAAGTAGAGCTGACATCCTGAGGGAAATTCCAACATTCTGAAACTTCCTTACAGCTGAAAGTAGGATGACAAATTGAAAATTTGAAATTTACCATGGAACAGAATTTTGGAAGTATTTTGATTTGATAATACAACATCAAAACATTGGACTATATGCTATATGTTTAATTTTTTACATTATAATAGTTGTATGATATTGATTACAAGTAAACATAAAAGCAAAATGTGAAAGTCAAAACAACATTCCATTTAAATTCAAATTGTTCACAATTGATGCATTTCCATGAAACATTGAAATCTAGCTGATGTGGGTATCATAGTTTACAGAATGCTTGTTGAAGATCTTGTAGGTGTAGGTCTCTGTCTGAGGGGTTGGAGCATATGCGGTTGTACCTCAGTGCTTGGCTGTAAACCATGGATCGTGTGGTGTGTCCGTGTCCAGGATGGAAGCTGGAGGCATGCAGGTAAGCATAGCGGTTGGTAGGCTTTCGGTATAGGTGGTGTTTGTCGCCTCTCAGATGAGTCTCTCCGCTCAGTTTTCACTTCAATGGCATCTGCTTTTCAGGAATTGATCTTTAGCTGGTGATTGTTTGTTCTTTCCTGTGTGGTTCTGGTCATTAGCAACATTTCATGTGCTCTGACCACTTCAAATGCTACAATCAAGACAGAATTCCAGGTTAGGAGCAACATTCACATACAGATACACCTGACTTAACGATACCACCTTTCCTTTCTCCCGCCCAGATTACCTTGCACTGTGGTAAGGATATAATCATATCAGAAGTACTTGAGTTCTTCGGCATCGAATGTAACCAGAACTTTGGTGTGGAATCCCTTTAGAACTGTAAGATCTAAACTAAAAATATCTGTTTGGCTATTTTTTGTACTCCTCAGACTGGGAAATCGATCATTGAAGGCCAAAATGAGGTGTGTGCCTCCCCATCAACAGAGGTGAAGAGGATCTTTGCCTAAGAGCTTGTCTACATAGGAAAATTGTTCAGAATAGCTGTTGTGGAATAACCTATTCCATATTAGCTCCCTCAGTTCTGCGGGTAAAAAGGCACTTTATTTCATAATAGTGTGTGCTTACAAAGTATACTGATTATTTCACAATAAAGTAACTTTCTGGGATTTGTAAAATTCTGAGCTTTTCTCTGTATGGAAAAATTCTTAAAAATAATTCTTCTTTGCACATGGCAAAAAAGGGGAAACTATACAAGGAAAAAGAAAACTGGTTTTCAAAAATACATATGTTTTAATTAATCCAAGTAAGTCTGAAATTCAGTCTATTGTGCTTGATAAATTGTGATTATAAACATGAATGGTTTGCACAATGAGCTAGCCTTTTAAAAAACTCTGAATGCAAGAGTGGTTTTAAAGACCATTTATTGCTACAGAAAGCCATATTTTGGTTTTAGATGTCTGCATACAGATTGAATAATTGAAGCGGTAAGGATGGGGCATTAACGGAATAAATATTCATTAGCTATTGATTTCCAAGCCTGGAAAATGCTGCCTTGTGCTCTGTCTTATGATCAAGTATGCATGTACCTACCCACCTCTCAGAGCTGGAAATGAGGAAACCGTTAACTTATGCAGATGGACTCAGAGAACAGCATGAAGAGTGCAACATGTTCTCCCAGCAAGTCTTGCAGCACAGGAAACCAGGAAATGGCAAATTATTGACACTGCCTTCTTGCTTTGCTTTTATTGCCAAATTTCTCTTACAAATATTGGTGGAAAGATAAGCATGAAGATCACTGTACCCAGAATGTTTCACTTCTTGCATGCATGCCCTGTATTCTGCATGGTAGCTGGACTTTGTACTAGTCATTGCATGGGAAAGAATAACTGATTTATTCGTTAGCTATGCAAACAGCTCATCTCATTTTAAAATGATAGAGAAGTAAGGCAAGATTCTTTCCTAGGGGATGTGAACACTATGGAGCTCTTTCCCACTTCTCTAATGTATCTAGAATTGGCTGCAGCAGAGATAAGATCCAGTCTGACACAACCTATATTTTGTGTACACAAAGCCTGCTGGCCAAATGACATCTGTCGGCCACAAGCACATGTGATTCTCTTTCCATGCCCATCCTCCAAACTAGACGTCACACACCATTGAGCTACGTAGATACATTATGGGAAGAGATTTCACGCTAAAATTCCACCCTGTTATTTGGTCTCTGTTGCTCAATGCACCATTGATCCATACATGCACAGTCTCCTCCTACGTGCTTCCCTCTCAGAGTACAGAGGCAAAGTGAGTTCCTCATCTACCTACCACAATGCAATCGGGTCCAAAGCAGAGGGAAGTGGGCAGGCAGTGGAATACAAAGAGGAACCAACCATCCCAAAGACCCTCCAGTTACAATAAGGAAGTGCTGAAGAGACTATACTGCTGAGACAACTTCTGGGAAAGATTGTCCCACCAGGAGCCAGTCATCCAGATACAGGACTGCCATAAACCCATGGCATCTCATCTGGGCCACTACTGCTGTGAACACTTTTGTGAACACTCTGGTCACCATCGCGAACCCAAAGGGGACAACACAGAACTGGTAGTGCACACCGATACCATGTCACTGCACCAACAGTGTCCATGGAGGCAGGCTAAGAGTTCAAGGGCTGTAGCACAGCTCTCCTGAAATGCATCATCTGTGGCCTGTTTGGTAACTGCACTGTGAGACACGGAAGTGAGCACTGATGTCCATGACATGTCCGTGAAGATGTCTGCTATGGGTATTTGCACCAGAAAAGCGGCTGACACCTGGGCTGTTGTTGAGTGGGCCTTCCCCGGGGTTGGAAGCAGGACCTCCTGCTTGCTCACAGTAAGCCCAGAAGCCCAGATACAACCATGATCATTTGGGCTGACACCGGAGGCCCTTTAAGTCTGTCCTAAATAGTCACAAAAAGCTGCATCAATTTGCAGAAGGGTCTTGTCCTGTCAATACAAAAGACTAACACCTTTCTTACACCCATAGATTGCAGACACCAGTCTTCTCTTGTCTTACAGTTTTGGGAAGAAGACTGGCAGAAACGGGTCTTGGTTGATGTGAAATTGTGACTCCACCAATTGTGGGTAGAAAGGCTGGGAGGAGCCTGACCTTATCGTTGAAGAAACAGCACAGGGAAGCTGTTCAAAGTCTGAAGTTTAGATACCCTTCTTGCCCAAGCAATCACCACTAGAAGTGACTTTCCAAAAGAGAAGCTGTCGCGGCTGTACCCACTATGTCATTCAGAGTGGAGAAGACGGGGGGCCCACAGCAGACTTTAAAATAACTTGCCACTAAAGGCCTCTGATTACAAACTCCCCAAAGCCACAGATTCCTGCGCCTTGGATTAGTATTGTTGAAGTCACCCAAATTCTAAACCCCTTTGAGAGCCCGGGGAGTGCATTTGGGAATTCCTTCCTGTGAAGTACCCCTGAGCTCCTTAAACCTCATTTTTTGAGGAGTAACGTTAGTTCAAACCAAGGGGTTTGATTCGCACTAACACATCCCGGAGCGCACTTCCTGGTTCAAATCAGCTAGCGAGCAGAATAGCACGCGGGCGAGATTATGCTAATGAAGTGTGGGATATTTAAATCCCCGCTTCATTAGCAATTTTGCTCGGCTACATTTGCATCCCTAGTTTGAACTGTGTACCCTGTGTGATTTTCTGTGTCTCAAGATTAAGCTATAGAACCCCTCCCCAGTCATATAACAAAACCGTCCCTATTTAGACTATGGTATGAACGACATATAGACCATTATAACCCATAAAATGACAGCGTATTGTTTCTTTAATGTAAGTAGGCCTCTCAATTTAGCATTCACTCTGTCTGATTTCAAAAGGCAGAAACAGCCAGCAGTACTAAACAGTCAGGGATTGGTATTTTATAACATTTTATTAGCAGTGTAACTTAATACAGTAAAACTCCAATTGTCTAGCATCCAGTGGTCCGGCACTCCTGATAGTCCGGCACCAACTGGAACCCAGGAGTGCTCTAGCCAGCCGGACAATTGGAGATCCTGTGAGTCCCATGCATGCTCACGGGCCGGGAAAGGGAAGGGGAGAAGAGGGGAAGGGGATTATACCCCTGTGACAGGTCTGCTGGGACCCGCACTGTGTCCGGCTGGGGGTTGGGAGGGGGTTGGCAGGAAACCGTGCGGCGAGGGGCGAACCCTCCACCATTTTGCAGGGAGGCGGGGGAAGCCCCATGCAGCTGCCTGCTACAGGCCAGCTGGGGCTGCAAGCAGAGGAGAGGGGGTGAGGCAAGGGGCGGCACTTCGGGACCAACCTGGCAGCACCCCAGCTGCTCTGCCCTGACGCTTCCTCAAGTCCGCTGCTGCTACCGCTTGCAGCCCCAACTGGCTTATCACCAGCGGCCGCACGGGG